AACCCCATCGGGGAGCCAAGGGAGCCCTATGAGACCCCCCACCCCCTCCGCGGCCCGCGGCGGCGCCGAGCAGCGCCGAGTCGCCGAGGCCCTCTGTCCTCGCCTCCTTTAGCCGATCGCATTCCGGTCACGTCTGCTTGCGTCCTAAAAACCCCCACCTATTTTGTTTGCTCTCCCACCGCCCCCGCCCCTCTCTCTCTCCCTGCCGCCCCCGCCAACGTCCTGATTCCTGCTCTTCTTTATGCATCCGGGCGCCGCGGCTGTAATTACGCTGTTCCCAATCGCTTCCGGCTCCGGACTTGTGTTTCGCGCCACGCCGCCGCTGATTTCATAATCAGATTTAAAGAGAAATTTGGAAAATCCAGGCGTAAAGTAAAGACGCGTGAGGTCGGACGCCATACGCTGCCCCTTCCTCGACGTTACACTTAGGGACGCGAAAGGCAAGTTCACCGACCCCCTAGGCTGTCGAGCCTGGGGAGTTTTACTAGAAAGAAAGCCCAGCACGCGAATACCTGCGAGAAGCTGCAACGCCGCAGCAGCCACGGCCCCGCGCGGGGCGAGGGCCTGCCCCAATGCCACGGTGTACAGTAAGAGACCGTGCCCAATGCCTAGGTACTCTTCCATGTCCCGTTGCATCGTTGCCGGACCGGGGTGGTGAGCATATGCAGGCCAGCTGCGGCAGATGGGCGTGACCGGACAATACCTGATAACGATTAGCCGAAAAGGAGCCGACGTGCCCGGAGTCCGGCCCTTAACCTTCTCCCTTTCCGTCGTTGTCGCGGCGTCCGTCCCCATATGTCTTACTGTAGACTTGTCTTCATTTGTCAGCTGCAGGTAAAATGAAGACCCCACCCGCAGCCCCTCTACTCTTATCGACAACGGTTAAGCTACTTGTGGAAAGCACCAAACGCAATTAATTAATTACACATTCTCCATTCTCTTTAAGCCTGACGAAGATATGTAAATTTGATCGACGGAGGGCGCAACCGACACCATTCGCCCCTCACTCCCTGCGTTCTGCAAGGGATTGTCGATTGCCTGCCGCCCAGACGTCCATTTCAGTCGTCTTGTCTCCTGAGCTGGGCGAGGCGAGTTTTCGAGGTAGATCCCCGGTCAACTCTCGGAATTCCAACAGCGAAAGGTCCGGTAGCTCCCGTCGTCGCCAAGGGGCTGCCCCAGCGGTGCTGAGGTGCTGAGCGGCGACCATGGCGGCGGCCGTGGCGGCGGCCAGCACCTCCATGATCTGCAGACCAGACCCGGCGCGCCTTACCTTGATGGGACATGACACGGCCGGACAATGCCTGCGAAATTAGCAGAAGGTACCGAAAGCGACCACTGCTCTCTTTTATTTCTGCCGCCGTCTTAATTTGTGATCTCTGGGACGGTTTGGCGTCGGGGGCGGTAATAGGCAAAGGGAGAGGCAGGTCACGTCAAGCCTCCTTTTATGACGAGCTGCGGGGCGGGG